AGCCCTGTATCTGAAGGCTTTTAGCAATGACTCCTGGGTCCTATTATTGCATAAGAAGGTCATCTAGATAAGGGTAGATATGTATCTCTTCCACTTGAAAGGAAGGTTGATGAAGCATTTGACTATATATTCATTTAGAAGTTGAGCCCCAAAGGATTGGGCTCTATATTGAAAATACTTCTTGCAATAGCAGAAACTTAAATATATATGTAGGTGCCTATCTTCCGTGTATCTCCAGGAGGTATATTTTCATATTCCAGAGCTTGGAGGTAAACAATGCAATAAGGAAGGATTTCAGTATTTCTGCATGGAATATTGATCTCCTCATGGGTGAGGAAAGACTCAAAATCTAACACGGGCTGCATGCTATTGTGTCTTTGTACAACAAAGACTCTTATGCCTTTTCTAAAATATGTTTCCTCATGAAATTGGCTCTGTCATTGTAATCTGTAGGAGATGGACATCTGCACCTTTCATCTTCAAATTCTACAAAGTCTTGCTATTGCTAGTGTTGATTTATATTAATTCACTTTGGGAGAAAGGATAAACTTGATCCTGAAATACTGAGTTTGAGGTTTTTTAGCCTTCCATGGTTATCTTAAGTAGGTCAATCACAGATAAGGACCCATGGTTAAGGTCACAAAGGGAGCATTTGCCCAAACTTGAAAATACAAAAATTGAAAGCTTATGGGGCTCCATATTTTTTTCTACACAAAAGAATTTCAACCTCTGTCTTCTACTTCTCAGGTAAGGCAGGAACAGCTTCTTCCTCACGTGAAATCTAAGCTGGAGCCTAGAAGAGCGGAGATATTTCAAAGGGACAGCTATACTGATATAAAGCAGTTTGAAGACATTCTCACTGGAAGGAGGGAGGGTCATCCTTTGTATACTGCCTCAGTGACTGCTTTGCTACTGGCTCCCAAGGAGAAGATAAGCTCCTGTAGGACCCCTGGAAACTGGAAGGGGAAAGTAGGTAGGTATCTCTCTCTCAGGGAAGGGACTCTGAATCACCTTACCCCTTACTCCCTGCTGCTGAGTCCAGGTTGAGTGGGGTCCAGACAGAATAAAGAGTGAGCTGGAGCTGCTGGAGACTACTCATTGGTTGCTGAAGGATCACAGGAGCTGGCATCTTTCCTCGCAGCTGAGGCCTTGAAAGTGAAACAGCTTGTGGGAAGAAGGGATGATTTGGATTCTTGTCAGAACAAACCTTGCTTGCCCCACCACTTCAGGTGGTTCCATGAAACTTTCCCACTTACAACGCAAGTTCTGGGACTAGGAGTTCCATATGGGGGCTTGGTTTAAAAAAAACAAAACATCAAAACCCTTACCTCTGCTCCCATGCTATGATTGTGGTCCGGTGTGAGGGAAGAGAGCTTCTATGCAACCTGCCTATGCACAGACCTCACCCACCCCATGGCTAGGAGCTGGATGGTGGGGAGAAGAGCTGCTGCATTCAAACCCTCTCAAAGCCAAATGGAATTCTCTTTGTTCCAAAAAACCTCAAAGCCAACAGCGAGACATTTAGTTAAAAGTCTTTCTGAAATCCTGCACAGGGAGCCCTGGAGTGAGCGGCATGGAGGCAGAGCTCCGCTGAGTCCTTCCTGAGGGGCAACTCTGAGCCCAGGCTGAGAACAAACATCCAGTCACAGTTGCCATGGAGACTAGGAACACCCTGCTGTGAGGTGTGTCTGACAGGCAGGGGACTGCAAAAGCAGGTGCTTAGCATGGCTGGGATGAAGTGCCCTCTTCCTGGTGCATACAGTATCACCGAGGGCTGAAGTCCACCCCTTCCCCATTTTCAGTAAAGCTGGAGTCACCAGGCCTTGGCAAATGAAGCTCACAGACCTGAGGCACATGTTTGGCTTTATTTCATTTCTTTGCAGTCTGCTTTCGCTCTCTCTAGTCTCTCTGCAATGATTCAGCTCCCCACTTAAGCCTCCTAGGGCAATTTAAGATGAGAGGTTTTATACATTTTAATCTACTCTATATTTGAGAGAGTCTGGCTGTGAATCTGTCTATCCATTCAAGAACACCTCCTGAACAATAAGAGCTAGGACCATCAAATTTGGTATGCAGCGTCCTCTTGTAAAACTTAGAGCAAAGTAAGGATTTGGTTGTGCCAGAAAAATGGAATGCAATTGCTTCTTATAAAACCATAAAGAGAGACAATACCCAGGCAAGTGAAAGGAGTGCCCAGCACCAAGCCTTCAACCCCAGGTACCCTTTAGTGAAGAGAGGCCTGAAGCTTCCCCCATGCAAATGGGAACATTGCTAGCTGTTCCCCTCTGTCAGGGAGCAAGGGGAGAGTGTAGTTTGCTGCATTCCTCATGCTGGCTGGGGAACAGATGAACTTAGATCTGCCTCAGCTGGGAGACATGCACCCCTCCTCCAGGTGTGACTACTGCAGCAGCCATGGAGAAGCACTTCTCACCTGACCCCAAGCTGCAGCAAAAGAGGGCTGGGGTAATCCTCGCTCCCTAAGGCAGTCTGCATATTGAACCCCTCATCCCTAGAACAGTGATTTAAATGAAACATGTACATTTTAATTTTATCCCCCCCTTCCAAAAAAAACCACCAAAACATAAAAATTGAGTTAAGGACCCAAACAAAGCTGAGTAAATATTCCAGTGTATGTGGATTTAAGGACCCAAGCAATGCTGAGTAAATATTCCAGTGTGTGTGAATATATAGATATAAATAAAATTTTACAAACCTACAGCTTCAAAACTCCCTGGCTTTTGAAAGCAGAAGGCTTCTGGGCTGTCTCTCTAACTGCTTATGGATTAATTAAGAACAGCTTTACATTTGAGGCCTGCAGCTTGACAGACCCCAAGGGGCTGACAAAGTACATATAGTAATCTCCAGCAATCAGCACAGAGCCCTGAGCCTGACTGGGTGGGGCTGATTAGTCAGCTGCAGGGCTGTGCTGCTGATTATCTTGAGGAAACACTGGTACCAAGTAGAGTTAACAGCTCTAACCTAGCAAGCTGTGCATAGGAATGGGGAATTGCTACATGTAGCTTAACCGAGATTGGCATTGGATAAATCATGTCTCTGCCATAACTTCCCCTATGCATGAAGTGTCAATTCTAATGCAGAACTTCTTGGTGAGATTGAGAACAGGTGTTTGGAGTGCTTTGAAGATACTCATTGAGCACTCAGTAAGGGCAAAGTTTGAGCAGCAGTTCTTCATCTAAGTCTGTCAGACTTCACACACACAAGTGGGTTGCAATGGCCTCACAGAAGCTGTCAGAATGGTGACAGGAAAACCACACCTTGATCTTTATGTAGAGAAATAGGGCTGTGTGCTAGGTGGCTACCAGACCACTTGCTGCAGCACCCCTGTAAACATTGGGGCTACGTCTACATTGGCATGATTTTCCGAAAATGCTTTTAACGGAAAACTTTTCCGTTAAAAGCATTTTCGGAAAAGCACGTCTAGACCGACAGGATGCTTTTCCGGAAAAGCACTTTTTGCGGAAAAGCGTCTGTGGCCAATCTAGACGCGCTTTTCCGCAAAAAAGCCCCGATCGCCATTTTCGTGATCGGGGCTTTTTTGTGGAAAACAGTACTGTGCCGTCTACACTGGCCCTTTTGCGCAAAAGTCTTTCGGAAAAAGACTTTTGCCCGAGCGGGAGCAGCATAGTATTTCCGGAAAAGCACTGACGATCTTACATGAGATCGTCAGTGCTCTTCCGGAAATTCAAGCGGCCAGTGTAGACAGCTGGCAAGTTTTTCTGGAAAAGCTGCTGTTTTTCCGGAAAAACTTGCCCGTCTAGACACAGCCTGGGAGTGCCTCAGATAGGGATGAAACAGCTGCATAGGATTTAAGCTGTTTGGCTTTCACTGTGAATTTCCCATGCAGAGAGAAAACAAAAGAGGAGCCAAAGCCACAGCTGTAGCATGCACATTTCCTTGGGCATTGCTCAGAGCATAAAGCCCAGATGCTCAACTTAGCTGAGAGGACAGTTTGTCTTCAGCCACTGTATCCTGGAAGCCACTGATATACTTTCTACTGAGGCACAGATGCCACAAATTAATATACACACTGGCCTAGAACAGGTTCGCTAGATACACTATAATGTCTGCCTCTTAGGAGGCCAAAGGAACTTCTGGCAACCTATCCATGTGTACAATTTGCATTAGCAGAGACCAACCTGTTACTGAAGATGCTGCTCTCCCATGGTCCAGGCCAATGGGAGCCCAATTCCTTACAGATGCAAGCAGTTGTTATTCCTCCCATGCACACTGATAGGTGTGCCTCCTCCCCAGAGGAGCCATCCCAAACAAGAAGGAAGTTAAGGAGTGAGAAGCTTCGATGAAGAGTTTAAAGTTCCCCATTTTTAAACATGTTTCTTTCCCAAGTCTCCCAATGTTGCTAATTAATAAATGCCTTGTTACAATTTTAACAGCTTACTCAGCTCTGGTCTACACTAGGGAGTTATTTCAAAAATAATAAAGCAGAGAATCCACACTATCAAGCCCATTATTTCAAAGTAATGTGCTGGTTATTTCGAAATATGTACTCCTACTTTCCTTGGGAAATAAGCTTATTTTTAAATAGTTATTTCAGGAGTTATTACTTCAAATTTAGTTATTTTGAAAATTTCCTGGTGTTGACATGCCCTCACTGCTCCTCTTATTAAAAACAGCTGCTAAAGAAAGAATACTTCAGCAACTGTAGGAATCCAATGAAGAGAGGTATTGCAGATCTAGGGAATAGCATGGTTGGGAGGGGGGAAAAGGAGAATCCAAGGAGTGTTCAAGATGGATACAACATAAGCACAACTCTCTTCAGGGAGATCTTCACTTAGCAGAGGTTTTAATATTTATTTGGTACTGGCCCAGAGAAGAGGAATAGAAAACAAGGGGAGGTTGGACTCTTCTTCAGGTTCAGAACCCTCTCTCTGTACACAGAAACAATGCTATGTATTATCCATGCACCTGCATGAAGTTGCTTTTTGTGTCCTCCCCATTTGCTTGGAGCCCAGCCATGTCTTTTACTGGTCCATCAGAAAACTGGTGATTTGTTTTAGGTAGTCCGGTTTCAAGTAATCCCCCAGTTCTCCCTTGCTGACCCACGCATACTCTCCTCTCCTCTCTGCCTGGAGCATGTCATCACTCTGGAGGAGGGCTTTGAAGAAGAAGATTTTGGCCCCCACGCTGTCCTCTGTCCTGCACGCCTTCGGGAACTTGTACTTATAAAACCCACATGGCGCATTCCCTAGGAATTTGGCCCGGATGTGATTTCCTAGGGATCCAGAGGGAAAAAGAAAACAGAGATCAGATCACACAATGACAGCAGCTGCTGCATACAAGGGGTAACAGTGGAACAGCAAAAGACAGCACATTTTCTCCTTCTAGCAACAACACACCCTTTCACAGGCCCATCCTGTGCCACAACTTCCTCTTCGGGTCTTTTTTTGTAGTCCAACAACCCCTCTCAAGGACCGGCTACAGGTAGCGTGGTCCCAGAGATCATGAAGTGGCCTCTTCCTTTGACAAGCTAACTGCACTGCTTTCATAGTGCACACTGCTGGGAAGCAAGAAGGACCTTGCTGAGAACAGGTTGTACATGCCCACCACGGCTGCTAATGGGTTGTGTGGCGGAGACAGAAGTTCTTGCCCCCATTATAGCACTAAGTACCCTTCAGGAGCCAGACCCGAAGGCTGAAACACTGCACACCTGTATAGCCACAATGAAGAACTTAATGGGTCAAGTTCACCGCAGCTACCAGTTTTACTCTTAGGGTACATATATATTTATGGTGGTGCTCAGAATAGATACTGCACATCCCCCTTGCACGGATATATATGGCAGAGTACATAGTGAGACATGGATTTGCTGAGTAAGGTACCCTACATGCCTGAACTCCCCAGGTATATACCCTACACACACACTCTACATGGCTAAACAGTACTTCCTCTGTTTACACTGCTATTTTAAGCAGTTCAGTGTCCTTCTGCCTCCCCACCTCTGAAGTCTCTTCCTACGGTACCTACCTGCAGTGTTAAGTGTGGAGGCAGCCTGCCTTTCACTGTGGTGTGCAGCTGCATGTGTAGTGCCCGAGCTCTACATGCCGTGGTAAATATAGACACAGTCTTGGGCAGCTAGCACCCCTTGTAGAGAGTCAGTACAAAAACTCTACAATGGACAATATCCATAAGCTTCCCAGCAACTTTACCCAGACACAACTCTCCTCAGAGACCCCACTGGGTTCAAGCCACCCCATCTGCTGCTGCATGTCCTCTCTCTCATGTAGTACAATGAGAATTTATTACCATAAGCTGATAATAGCCCTGTAATGACAAGAGAAAGAAATGGGGACAAGAAGGGGTGGCAGCAACAGCTGCACAACAGATGACTCACCTGAGAGAGTAGCCAAGACTCGCTCTGCAGTGCTTCGCAAAGTCTCCCCAGCCTGCCATTCGGCTTGAGGTAGGAGCCACTGCTCTTGACTGCCAACCTGCTGTTTGACCAGGAGCACCAGGTTCCTATCCAGCTTCCTGTTCAAAGATGTCCGATCATTGCATTTGTCAGCATCTGCCAAGAGAGAACAGATTCCAGAGACAGATAGGTCATCCAGTACCTATATAAGAGACCAAGCCTTCCTCTCTTTCAGACTCTGAAAAGGACACATGGGACAATTCCAAGTGATGCTTCTTGATACAAGTGCTCTCATCAACTTGGAACTTTCTCCAAGACAGTAGAATAAGCTTCCTCAAGAAATAAAAAACACCACAAACCTAAATCTTTTCCACTCCAAGTGCAAGGCACATTTCTTTGATTGCCTTTTCTAACATAGACCCATAAGAATAGGTATATTTATTAAAAAATAAACCCCTCCCAAAATGAGACATCTGCTCAATGTGCAGTAGCAGTCAAAAAAGTTAACAGAATATTAGGAACCATTAGGAAAGAAATAAATAAAGCATAAAACTATGCCACTATAAAAAACCATGGCACTTTCAGTCTTTCAATTCTCCACACAGTTCTCCATACATCAAAAAGATACATTAGACTTGGAAAAAGGTACAGAGAAAGGCAATGAAAGCGATTAGGGGTATGGCAGCTCCATAGATGCAAATATTAAAAAGACTGGGACTATTCCTCTTATAAAAGAGACACTAAGGGAGGGGAGGGGACAAGAGAGGCCTATACAATTGTGAATGATGTAGAAAGAGAATAGGGAAGTGTTATTTTCCTCTTCACATAACACAGGAAGTAGGGTTCACCTGATGAAATTAATAAGCAGCAGGTTTAAATTTTAAAAGAGGAAGCATCTCCTCATACAAACACACAACCTATGGAACTCACTTGTCGTGAGATGTTATGAAGGCCAAAAGTATAATGGGGTTAAAAAAATGGGTAAGTTCAAGAGGATAGTCCAGGAATGCAATCCCATGCTCCAGGTGCCCCTAAACTTCCAGTTGCTCGATGCTGGGACTATTCAGAAGGGGATAGATCACTCTACATTTCCCTGTTCAATTCCTTCTCTCTGAAGCATCTTGCACTGAACACTGTCAGAAGACAGGATACTGGGCTACAAGGATCATTGTTCTGACTCAGCATGGCTGTTCTTACGTTCTCAAGACACTCAACTAAACATGCTTCTACCTCTGGGGAGATGATAACAGACATTAGTCATATTGTTTAACATACTGCTGGAAGGCACTCAGTGTGAGTGGGGAGGGGGGGTCCAATGAGCAAGATACGAATCTATATACAAGAGAATAAATGCCACAGGGAATCTGGACAGAATCCATTGATTTCCAGTCATGTCTCATAAAGGTGACAGAATTGCACTTTAGATGCTCTTCTTTTTAAAAGAGACCATTTAAAACAACTAATATAAGTCTCTAGTTCAATGTAGTGCCTAATAACTCAGTCAACATTTATGTAGACTCTACATAAAAACAATGCCTATGTTGCATGCTCTTGTGAAAGGAGACAGGCTGTCATAGTTTTTCTTTCAAGGACAAAATATCCAGCCTTCCTACTTCATACTCTCTCAAAGGTTCTGCAAAAAAGGATCAGAGGCCAGCTCCTTTCAAAGGCCAGCTAATTCCTCCTATAATAGCTGAAAGGGGTCATGAGAGTCAAGAAGGTCCTTCCATCTGAGGGCTCGGTACCCTCCTTCATCTCCACGCAAATGTACCAAAGTCAAATATTTTCAGAGAGACCAGAGGCACCCCAACCCTCTTGGATGAGAACCTGTTAGTCGGTGGCCAGCTTTGAAACTTTGGAATTTTTGTTCCCAGGCATCCTCTAGGTCTTGGGCCAGCAAAATAGCTTGCCCAGAGTCAGTCGCCTCATCCTGGATGTTGTATTTCTTCTTTTGTAGCTGCTCCTCTTCTACCAAGTGCCGGATCTCATGGTCCGAAAAGTGGCTTTTCTCCACCTCTATCTGGAAAGGTCATAATAGAAAATTGTCATGTATAGAACTTAGTTCATCAGGGGCCTGACCATTGATCACAATTAAAAGCACTGTTATCCTGAATCACCTGGAAAGAATAAAGCTATTTTTATTGCCACAAACAGGGCATGTGTTGATTTCTTCCTGTTGGAGAATAATTTCTCTTCACATAACATACACTATACCCCAGGAAGCCAATGTTTTGCTACACACTGAGATAACATCTAATATTGCAGACATAACGAGATGCTTACCCACTGAAAAAACAATTATATGTTCACTATCAAAGCATATTAGCACAATATTACAGTCTGAAATCTAAATGCATGTAAGTCAGGTAATTCCAATTTTGAGAACTGCACGGTAACATGGACTTCATGTTACATGCAGCAGATGTTACCTTTTAAAACAGCCAGGCATTGAACTCAGTGTTATCTCAGAGGAGAGAGTATTCTCTTACTACAAGTCACCTTCATGGAATCTCGACACCTAGTAGCACTGTGCTGGAGCATGTTGCTCAGAAATGACTCAAAGGACACCCGGAATGTGCCATTTGCATTACTCCCCCCTGACAGCCACACCCTCCTTATGGAAGTGGAATCATGGTGTTTAAGGCAAGGAGAGGACATTTTAATAATCTAGACTGCACACTGACGATGTTAAATATCAAGTAATTTACTAGTCAAGTAGTTGATGGAATTTCCATCAACTACTGGAAGGCACCTCTGCATTCCTCCTTTGAAACGTACAAGAGCCCCAATGCCATGGCAGCATTTCAAGGGGGCAGCCCCACATGGAGCCCAGGATCACCTGTGCAGTGCTGCCACTTTGAAGTATCCCCTTTCCCACCTCTATCTGATAGAGGCAGCAAGGCAGGGGCGGGGAGGAGGAATGACTAGTTGACTATCTGATAAACATGTGCTTATCCGATAGTCGACTAGTCCTTAATATCCTTCATGCACCACAGACCATGAACCCTCACTCAGCGATTCCTGCACCAAGGACATGAGCACCTGGGGCACAGCCCCCACCTTGTTCATTTTCACCTGTGTTTCAACTACGTGCTCGGAAAGCTCCCGGGAAGAGTTTTACAGGTGGGTCCCTGTCCCCGGGCACGGGAAGCGGCTCTGCCTCAGCCCTGCTGCTCCGGAACCGGACAAGAGGGGACCCCGCGGTGTCCTCCGGGGGGCCACGCAGCATGTGGCCAATGCAGACGCCGGCCACCTTCTGCGCTCGGGATCCCCCCGCGGAATTCGGTCCAGTGCGCTCCCCCCACAGCCAGGCTCCCCGCCCCGCGCTCCCTGCTGCACCAGCCGCC